ATATGCTCGCTTGTGTTGTCACCTGGTAGATATATTTGAATAACACCAAAATTCGTGCTTTGCTTCTGACCATCCCATCCTTCTGTTCCTCACCTGGTTGTTTGATCAGGATTTGTCTGTTTCAACTGTTGCTCATTAAAGGGCTGCCCTGTCGACCACCTTCCATTCTCCTGTTTCCAGAAAGTCTTCTCCTCCCTGGTTATTCCCCTCCCTTTAAGTTCCATCATCTGGTCTGTTTGCCATGTTCCTTTGTTCTGCCAGGTTGGGATCTCAGTGTTCTCCCTTTGAACCCATTGCAATATGTTCCATGTACCATTTTTCCTTTAAGATGTATTTCCTCCACCTCCTGGCATGAGGTTGTCGTTGTTTTGATATTTACACCATTAATTTTCCCGCATCCTTCACCATTCTTTGTATGTTATCCTCAGGCTGTCTGAGAAAGTTGTTTGGCCTTTTTTCCTATTGTCTTACCTTCCATTTCTCACTTGTACTCCCATTCAGATCTAGAATGACTATTTTGTCCAGTTCATTCCATGCTCTGTTATATGGCTCATACTGCCTCCTTTTGTTGTTCTCGTTTCCCGTGATCTATCACCTATTATGCTCACTGGTTGGGTTCATCAACTCATAGGACTGGCATATTCTGACATGTCCATGAAAGGTTGCCTTCTACATAATGTTTGTTTGTACCATATTTGTTTTTGGTTGCTTATAACTGCCATCATTTGGAGGAGATTGTTCAGGCTGGTATGTGGACACCTTCCAATACATTTGTCATATATCAGCTGCATGACCTGGCTGTGTCTTCCTTGGGCAGGTATCATCTTCCTCCTTTGGAGATTCTACACGTCTGTTTGCCTTTGTCTGAGGTAAGTTGATCTGTTATTATTTTGTATCTTTTTCAGTTGATATACATTATATTTGAAGATCCCACCCTAGTGGCAGGTGTTGCTTGGTCAGGTATGCTGAAAATTAGATTTTTGCACTCAATCAGTATAATTATAAATGCCCACTGTAGAGATGGGGTATTTCTGTAAGACCACTGGTTGCTTTTCCAGTTGTATGTATGTATATAAAACTTTTATTATCAATGTATTTTATACAAAGGACCATCACTCTTGGACTTCATGAGTAAAGCAGATGGGGATTTTTGCCCATCCCCACTGACCTGTGATTCTTACAATCTACGTCTTTCTGCTTTTCAAAATAAGGAATTGCAGACACCCATTGCACACTCTCCAGTGTGTGTGTCATTCCTCCGGACTCCCCAATGCATATTCTCCCCCTTTTTTTTCTAATGGAGCACAGGAGTCCTTATCACTCTGGTTCCCCATTGCTGGAGTGGTGGACCATGGAAGTTTCCTTTTGAGTGAGGTTGTACAATGAAAGACATCAAACTTAAACATTAACTTAAAGTATGCACTGAGCAAGAAGAGGGCTGTCATGATTCTAAATATTGATTAGGCAATAATGTACTATTCTGGATCCAAGATGCTTCTGTTGATGCACCTGTTGATCATAATATACATGCTTATACAAGGCACTTCCACTGCATGTTTCTGCCCAGTTGGACCACACTTGACTTTCTCAATAGAATCCCAAGGTGCTTCCCCTGAATGTTTTTGTTCAGGTGAACCTGATAAGTAGTTCTACATAATTATAAGTTTATCAACCTGTGCATTCTATCAATTAGGGTTGGGAATGAGGGAAGATAGCTGAAGAGAGAGTAAAAAAAAAAGGAGAAAAAAAAATATCTGTCAAAAAAAAGAAGTTATAGCTAAAGATTTTGACAGAAGTAAGTATCTCAAGTTAAATTTATAGTCCAGAAAATATTTCAGTCAAAATACACCTGACTAAATTACAACTTTATGTTAACTGAGGTGCTTTTATAGAGGTCAGCTATGAAACATTACAATAGTTAGTTATAGATAGTAAAAATTCATGTATAAAATTATATGCAACCATGGAGAAGTCGGTATTTATAGTATTGTGTTTGATTGTGGAGAGCATGTTATGATTGGTTGGTTCATCCCTGTTTCTGATTTGAGTAGAGAGTTCCTGTAGATTCAACCAATGGTAGCCACTCTACACTTGTGTTTCTAGAACAGGCAGTTGCCATCCGTTCAACAGTTTCACCATGAATACTCTGCTTAAACAATCTATCAAAGAATATATGCAAACAGTTTTTAAGTGGTCTGTTAGCCTGTTCACCACTATATTGGGGTAAAAGCAGTATTATATGTCAGTAGCTAATCATGGACTTAGCAGTGGTTTATTCACTAACAAAAAAAATTTACAGACAAAATATTATATACTATGAATAAAGTAAAAAATAATAAATGTATTTTACTGCCTTTTTAATTTTCATACAACAATAATATCAAACATTTCAGCCTTTTTTTTAAATGACAAAGTACACAAAAAACTTAGTTCATAATTTATTGGGAATTGGAAAAGAAGTAATTCATCGGAAGTTGACTGGTGTTTACTCTGATATAGCAAGAAATATCAAATTTGATTTCAACATTACATATATATAAGAGAATTTGATCATTAAAATATCTCCCTTAATTTTGTTGCTTTAAAGTATATGATGGTTTAAAGCAAATCATGAAACTGTGGATGGTAAGTAGTAGGGTGCTGTTGTTCAAAATTAGGGATGGAAACAGGTAGCCATAGGAGCTTTACTTTAAATACAAAATAAAATAAAATGCTAACTTCCAAAAAAACATGTACCAAATCCTATGCTTTTTAGTTTATTGTCAATTAGGTCCTATTCACTTAATGAGTGAAGTACTCACAAGCACACTGAAGTACACATTATCATTAAACTATCCAAAGCTCAGTTAGTGGTAATTAGCTGGCAAAGAGCCATTGAACATTAAAGGAAAATAGCTTTTGTTTACCAATTGTTAATCCAAGCATGATTATGAACATGCAGACCAGTTGTAAACAACAGTCAAAATTATTAAAAAATTGGCTGCAAGCACAACATTCATTATAAAACCTCATTATGATAATTAATTGATAAGCTCTTTTCAAATAGCTTGTTGCAAGTCTGTCAGTGGAATTTTGTAAATTTAAAATTGCAACTAAAAGCAGCACAATCAAGCAGCGTTTAAGTTTTTTATTATATCTTTTTTCTCACGTTAGGAATTATTATTAAAAACATTGATCTAAAATTTGGTTATTATAAAATGTGAAATTGACAACACTATTTCATGGAAACTGACATCAGCTAACTAGTTTTACCTACTAAGAACATGAAACCAATGAATATTTTGTTGTTGTTGTTTTGTTTGAGATGTGGCTGAAACTTTTGTATCTTAAAATAAATGCCAACCACTTACCAGTAGTAAAAAAAAAAAATTGAAACCATTTTTTTCAATAGATATCTGAAACAGGGTAGACATTTTACCTTATAGATGAGAATCAATGCTTGAAAGTTATTTTCATGCTGAATACCAGGCTTTGAATCTTCTTTGCAAGAACAATTGATATAGTATTCTGAATCTTTTGGTAGTTACAGATTCAAACTTGAGATAAGTTAAAATGGCATTTATCTGCAATCTCTCTCTAAGAGTCAAAACATTTAACCCTATGCAAATAGTTTGGCTCTTCTGCACATGTCACATTTTAACAGATTACTTTAAAAATTTAATAAATGAACTTTATTATTAAAATTAGTATTACAATGTAGTTTATAATCAAAATTTTTATCTAAGTTTTAATTTCAAAAAATTATAAATCTTCACTTTTGTTGACACGTGACACGTGAGTTATTTTTTAGTTAGGCAGTGTATTTGTTGGTATTTTGAAGTTATGCTACCATATTTTAGATACAATCTCTAGACAGTTCCAAGATAGAAAATTTCAGAATGAACTTGCTAAAGTTTACATTTACTGAGGTATTAATAACTTTTCTCAGCCTACAACAAAAACCCCACCCATCTGTCTTTAACTTTCAAAGCTTCTTTCAAAATTACATCATATTACTTGATATAGTTGTTTTCAACCAAGAAAAAAAGAGCTTATTCTGTATTACAAGCTTTCAATGATCTTTATGAAATTAGCAGAAAATATATGCTACAAAAGTCTTGATTTTATAAATTGGTGATAAGGGAAGTTACTCTTCATAGTATTTAATGATTTTTATAACATAGTTGAGAATTAAATTACAGTTGTTTTTAGATACTAATATTTTACTTATTTAATTTTTCTCTTTACAAAGACTTATAGAAAAAAACTTTAGGTTTAGATAACTTCAATTCCTTACACGTCACTCTACAGGCAGGAAAAAAAACATATATCATACAGGCCAGACAATAAAACTAAGTTTATTTTATTTAATAAAGTTCAAAAATTAATTTCAATTTCACTTTTGACATTCATTAAGAAGGTTCTAGAGGTTGTGCAAATCAAATATGAAAACTGCAAGATGAAAAAAAAGAATTATTTTCATTTTTAGCAATGAAAATTTCCTTGCACCCAGAGTTCAGACTAGTCAGAGTCTGAAATCTCTAGTAGAAATACTTTATTAAAAGTTCTGATTTTTGTGTGTACAAAATACTTGATATTTACTTTAGCTTACCAAATTTTATGAAGATACACTTAGACATGCTTACTATAATTATGAATTTTTTTATGTACAGTTTCACAGAAACATGGGGTAGTCTATCAGACAAAAACCCCATCAAGATAGGGTTAAACAAATTATCTTTATTTAGATCACCTTGGTGTGTATAAAGTATACTAATTCAAAATTACCTTATTTTTAAAATGAGTTGAACATCTCTTTATTAAAATAAAACTTGCATATACTTTCATGACAAATAAATTAAAAGTGTAAAATTACACACACATATATATATTTGTTAAAGTAGAAACCAATTGCAAATTAAGCTCATTACTAATAATACATAAGACTTAACACAAGCTTAAGAATATCAACCTTTATTAAAATAATATTTCACTTTTATTCAAAGCACTACTAATAAAAATAAAAGACCCACTGAAAATACTTGAGCACTTTCATAAAATGTTATTCTTTATACTCTTGATAAAGAGTATTGTTGCTCAAAATGAAGAATATTTCACTCTTTTAACCCTCTCAGTTCAGCTGGGATATATATTTCTCAGTGCTCCCACCCCCCTTCACTCTGCAACTAGGACAAATGTTTCCTATTGTCATTCAAAATTGACATGTGTGACATATGGGTGTAAAATAAGTTGGAAAGTATTTTAATGGTATCCCACCTAATATTTAAATATGGTTTCCCTTTTAGCCCTTCAGTAACCAATAAGATGCCTAAGCGGAATGTATGACAACTGTGTGCCGATGTGCCCACATTGCTAGAGTGGCGAGTAGTAACCCTAATTACTATGTAAATATACAGATAGCTTAGAAGATAGTGAAAGTGAGTCAAGTGGTGTTCAAATGTGTGATGATGAAGAGGCAATGAGACAAGAGGATGCAAGCTCTCCATCTAGTGATGATAGTCAAGATGATGATCTCTGTAATTACTGTGGTCTTCATACCAAATTTACTGTTGTTATTCATTATCTTCCAGTGAAAAAGTGTATTGTTTAACATTTCCTCTGGAATTCATACATTGCTTTGTTACTCCAAAATAACTATTACTATGGTATACATAAACTTGGCATCTATATCAGGTTCATGTCTTGGAAGAACTGTAGCATCACAAGAAGAAAAAAAAATCAAAAACTATTGATTCACTTTTGATTTGAATTAATTATATGTACAACATTGTGATACACACTTTTGCTTTATAATAAAAATATTTTTCTTTCATTAATATGCAAGTATTTAAATATACATATGTGTTTTTAAAGGATCATAAAACTTTGCATTGATTAGTTGCAGTATTAACTCTCCCACAGTTGATTATATAGATTGATACTAGAATCCTAGGGGATGCTGTTGTACCAAGCCTCCATGTTTACACAAGTCCTGAGAAATCTTGCTCATCTTCTCAAAGTTCTTCAGCTTCTCTGAAGTTTTCAAACTATTCAAATTCAGCTGAACACGTTCATATCCCTAAGATTACCAAAAATTGTGTTAAAAAATTACGACTAATTTTCTTTTGAAATGATGTTATGGTATCAAATTACAATATGTATACCAACATTCTACACCTAAATCTTGGCCAAAAATTCTTGTTTAACAAACAAAGTTCTAACAAAAATAACATAAGCTCCTTTTCTTTTCTTTTTTGCTTAATATTTTTCTAGTTTAATTTTAGGATTATACATTATTTAAGAATGTTTTACATAAGTGTGTAAAATTAATCACAAATTTTTATTGTACAAAATGGTCACTCCCTTATTTTAAATAAATATTTAGATGTCAAAATTAACATGTCAGTTTTTATACAAATACTCCATGTACTTTACAGAGGTTGAGTATGTTATATTGAAATTATTTTGGAGCTTCAACACATTATTACAGTCCAAGTCACCATATCTGGTCATACTCTATCTGACAACTTTGCATCTTGACACCATCATAAGGCTCTATTTAAAAGCACATCCTTTTTCCTTTCTTGCTATCCATAAACCATCTAATACACAAAGAAAACTGTTCTCAGTGCCCACTTTAACAGTCCAATTGCACAGAAATTCACAAGCACAGTATCCAGCAACTTGACTGATATGTCTTTGTATTGAATAGTATTATTATCCAGGTGCTTGAGGAATCCAATGGTTGAAAATATATATATAGTGGAAGCAACTTGTATACATGCATCTTACTTTGTTTTTCCAGGTGTAGATCATTCCCTGATGCATACTGTTGCCTGGGGCATGTGGATGGCTTTTGCCATTGACCTTTGTGTTCATAGATTCTCACCTCTTACAAGACATCATAGTTTGCTTACCACAACTGAAATACGACTTATTGCAAGTCTATTTCTGGGTGGTCATGGGGCCCCAAGTTGATACTTATTCCCTTGTTTTCCAATGCCATTAAATACAAAGGATATCCATATCTTTGTAATTACACAGCCCTGATCTGAACACATCTTTCTGACTTAAGTGTAAATATATTTTGCATTGGAAAGAGTTGTTATAAATTTATTCCAAAGGCTTTCAATTTTTAGTGGCATGATACTACTTACAAATGCCAAAAAATGTAGTTAGTTCTGATACAGTGAACCCTCGTTAGTCTGGACGTTGATAATCCAGATAACTTTTCATATGCACAAATTTTCACAATTTAAGCAATAATCTGTATATTCACATTCTGAATCAGAACACTTATTTCTTATAACAAACATGCATTTCCTATGGGTACATGATTTGGCAATCTGTACGTGACTCCATGAGAGTCAAGTAGAGACCAGTCACAAAAAGAAAACAAGATATTAATTACTACCCATAACTTTTCTGTAACTAGTAGCTACCAGTTTATGAAAATGTTTCTGTGAATGACCCTCACAGTAGGGAAGTACATATAACTATAACAGATATTGAGGGGGCATCAGTGATTTATGGTATAGTTCTATCAAGTCACACTGCTAGAATACTAATGTATGTAGAAATATCAGTATTATTAAAATGTGATGTTTGTCTATACAATAAAGCACATCCAAGTAAAAGCCTTGATACCATCAGTAAATGTCTGTGACACGCTTGGCATCAAAATGTAGTTTATAATTCAAATTTTAACATTATCTAAGTTTCAGTTTCTTAATTTCAAAAGAAAATATTAAGATAAAATTTATCATATTTCACTTTCTGTGTGATGTAACCAAGTGCACTCTCAATTCTCCCTTTTCAATTTTATATCTTTGATCCAAAACTGCTTCAAGCATGTCAATATTTTGCCACAGCCTCAACAGAGTGAAACTGTTGAGCCTGTTGAGATGTCAGAAGTCATTAATGAGATTGTTTCTGGAATTCATACCTTAATCTCGAGTAGTAGTAAGGCTATCTCGGGCGATCAGTGGCTCAACATCAACACAGCTGAACCAACTCAAGCACTATATAACCTTAAAGATTCATCTCATCGTTTGAACTGACTTATGTGAAGATGATGATGTAATATGTTATTTGCTTAAACCTGCCAAGAAGCTTCCAAAGAAACAAATTTCAGTTCAAAAGCTGACTGAGTGCATCCATGTTTGGAAAGTGATTTGTTGTATAATTGACCAATACAATGCATCTTATATTCTGTTAGTAAATCACTGGTTTGAACAAAATTATGTTTTATGTGAAGATAGTGAAATTCCACTTTGATTGTGCAACTTGTATAATTATTTGTGACATATATAATAATAAAATGATAAGTCTACTGTACATAAAGTTTCTTTTCTTCACCAGTTGCATGCCCATCTTTAAGTTATTGATTAATGATGCACCCTATTAATAGCATCCATTGCATTCAATGTGACTGCTTTGACTATCCAAATGTCTCAATGAACAAGGTCTCACTGTACATGGTATTCCATCTACATTTTATAAGCCTCGACTGGCTTATTTGTATCTTCAAAATTGTTTTAATATAACATGCTCAATCTTCTATACAAGAATTATCATGGTGAGATTGAAATGTATTCTTTATAACCTGTTTGAACACTAATATCAGGATAAAAAAGATGAAACTGATGAATTAATTTAGTACTAGATTTTTTTTCATTAATATACTTCACTGACAAGCATATCAGTGTCAAAAAATAAAGAAAAGAAATTCCCATAATCAATTGTCAAGCTTAAAGTTCAAAAGATCCATAAAAAAAGGAGAAAAATGTCTGAAAAATAAATTCTAAAATCCAAGACTATGCTATATTTAATAAATTGATCAGCCTCATAAAAATAGAAATTTATGAATTGTTATATGATGCCTTTTACAAAAATATAATACAAATAGCTTCAAAACACTTCATTTTTAGTTACACTGGCAGTAATATATATGAAACACAATTACTTCAAATTTTACAGTTTTAAATGTTTTTATGAATTTTCTTTTACCTTATCCAGTTAAATCAACATTATTGTTCTCATCATAACCTTCCAGAAATATTTTGATCTAGACAAATTATAATGTTAAAAACAAACACAATGTACCTCACTACAGATAACAGAAGTCAGATTATGTTCATATTCAGCAGATGACAAGTGCTGTTGTAGAGACCTAGAGGCACGGGAAAGAACTGTTACCATAGAGTAGATGTCAATGGCAGAGTTGGCCAATCTGTTCAGTAGAAACTGCTCATCTAAGAGAAGAAAGATTTATGTTACCAAGTTAATGACCAGTTTATTTCATCTTACTAGTGGCCAAAGGACTACCACAGTGTTGGCTAGTGTTTAATAATAACATAGTTATCACATTGTAAGAAGCACTTGTAGGTTTACATTTCAAAAACTAGTTAAAAATTTTATAAAATAAAAAATCAATTTTCATCCGAGTGATTTAAGATACGATGTTTAAGCAAAATTATTGAAGCTTCATCCAAACTAAAGCTTTCTCCATATTTGTAAATCAACACCTACTGCAATTATATCGTATATCAAACTTCTTGATTATAGAATTAGTAAGGCTGTACCATACCTGTCAATTCTCATGTATTTTAAACACAGATCACGCTCTCACACCTTGCTGCTACAATCTCACGATTATCAGTGTTTAACTTTTATATTTTTTCATTATATGATATTAAACTTGTAATTCTCTTTGCAAAACTGTTACAAAGGTCCTAGTTCTTTACTTCAAATGTGAGCAATGGGTAGCACTTGAATGTATGTGATAGCTCATTTAACTAGTTATCAGATGACCAGTCTAAAATAGACAGTTGCTTTGCATGTGTATCTAGTCAAGTGATTGGTTCTTTGTTCGTCTGCTTATCATGTTTTGATCAAGTATAGTATAGTTTCAAACAGAAACATTTCAGCTAATAATGTATATTATTTTGGAGCTATGGCTTTCACACACAATTTCTCTAAATGGGATTCATGACTTAGTTTGTACTGAAATTGCTTCTTTCTTTTTTTTCCCTAACCCTAAAAAATTATTCAGATTAACAAAAATATAAATGACTATTTTTCTATATTCATCAATTGATATCTGATAATTCTTATGTTGGCAAATTTTCTAAATTTATAACTAGTTCCTAAATAAATATTCTCATTGTTGTAATCTATAATTGCAAAGCTAAATGTTGTATATCTTGATTGGATAAAGTTTCTACCTATGATACTAAAGAACACGTTCTTCAAGCTATTAGTAAAGCCTTCCAGAAAACAGACACAAATCACATACATATATTAAACCGTACAACTGTGTACATAGTAAGGGTGTTTAAATTATATTATCCTGAATATTTTTAATTTCCTACATTATCAAAAATTTCCTAACAAATTATGACTATGACACTGAACGGTAGTAACTCTCAAGAACCAGAAAAGCTGATAAGATTGACTTAATGGCATTTCCATAAAAAAATTTGTCCACTTTTAGACATAACATAGTAAAAAAAGAATTATCTGTATATATTATATCATGCAGTTTACACAAAGATCAAGGTACATCATCTTGTATTAACACATTAATCTTTTTCTGGTCATCCTTTATTTGATCATTTTTTAAGGCCAAGAGCAAAAGCCTCATCGAAGTGAATAAAAAATTTAAGAACTTTTATAATGTCTCCTATCCTAATTTTCTAGCATCTTGATGCTTATAAAACAATATTCACAAAGCTACAAAGAAGCATCTACAGACATTTTCAATAATTCTTGAAATTAATATTCATGATATAAAGAAATATGCAAGATTCAAAATGGATAAATTATAAAAGCCAAAATCCAACAACTCATGTATTTCAGAAGGTGTACCATATTTTTTCAATGATGAAGTAGGAATGAGTATAGTATTTAAATAGGAAAAATTACTTCATTGGTACTATGAGCATCTTGCCCACTCTCAAAGCATGGAAGTGATTAGGTTGTCTGTGATTGGGATTGTTTGTTTCTTGGTAATTAAGCAAAAAGCTATACAATGGACTATCTGTGCTATGCCCACCATGGGTATCGAAACCCGGATTCTAGAGTTGTAAGTCCGCAGACATACCGCTGTGCCACTGGGGGACAATGATTGGGAATGATGTACATGTGACAGTTTGAAAACTATCCAAAGCTCTGGCAGATCTCTATGAAGATGACACTGTGATCTCCATACTGAGGCCTTCTAGTTAAAGTAGCTTGGTGACCAAGATGTCATCTTCAGAGGAATTCATTAGGTAGTAGCTATACTCCCAGTAACTAAATCTTCTCTTAAGATGATGTATAGTCTATGTAAACTACAAACCTATTTTTTATATATAATAGGATAATTTTTATAAAATTACCAAAATAGACACTGCAGGCTCTTATGTTATTTCAAAAAAAGTAAAAATAGAAACAATAATGAAAAGAAATATTCAAGTTTCACTCTGTGTAAAAGATTAATAAATACTTACGAACAATGTTCTTTCCATACTTCATTAGCAGATTTTCTACAGATACTCCAAACTGTTCAATAGTTTTGTTTACCTACAAAAAAAGAGAAAACATATGTTTTGAAATGTGATTAAAAGTACCAAAAACAAGTCACAACATGAAATGAAAAATTTAAACAAACCTAAACAATTTCTTCTCCAGAAACAAAAGTGGGATTTTTGAAATGTGTTACATAAAGGAATATACCTTGCTAGCTGACTCTGCCAAATCAGAGTGGACATAAGGTGTGAGAAATGATCCATTATTGAGACCAACCACCCTCTTCATTCTCTTGGCCCCCTCATCCAGGATCAGTCCTAAGTTAGCAGCAGGATTCTTCATAGCTTTCTGAAGTTCTTTCAGGTGGCCCCCTGCATATTGCAATCCTAAAGTAATAAAACCAAAAAATATTAATTATATGCAACACTATACTGTTAAGAACATTGCACTGACTTTGAATCTAACACTACAAAGAAAAAAAAAAACAATAAAAGCTGTGATGCATACATAACATAAAAACATTAATGTGATATATAATGTAAACAATAATATAAATGAATGGAAAAATATACATTTAAATGTTTTGGAAGTGCTCTGACTTTGGAATTAAAAAAATATTACCAAATTTAAAATTTACTAACAAAAACAAACATTATATGAAACTACTATACCATTCCAGATAGCATCAACTGCAATATACTCATGCTGAGGATTTAAATACCATTTTACATACTACATATTTTGAAGAACTATTATCATCTAATAACTGTAAGAAAATAAGTATTTTAACATGGCCACTCAAACACAGAAATATGTCGATTACTACAGCTTCTTTCTACTTCTATAAAACTTTATATATAACATGATAACAGTGTATTACAGTATAAAAACTGTAGAAAAAATATGGGAATATTTCTATCTTTCATCCCTCTTGTGACTACTGATAACAAAACTTAAGTTCTGGCAATTGCTAGCTTGCACAAGAAAACTTAGTAGCTAGTTTAACCTATTTATGGAACTGCACATCCTAAAAACTATAATATAATTAATTTTTTTCTTTATATATATATATAAAGTAATTTCATGTTACGTAACATATTTATGGATGAAAACATTCTGTAACAGCTCTCACCTGTCAATGCAACAAATAATCGCAGAATATCATTTGCTCCTTCAAAGATTCGGAATATCCGGAGATCTCTTAGAACCCTTTCCAATCCAGTATCACGCATAAAGCCCATTCCACCCAGTATCTGTATGGCTTCATCCACTACAAACCAAGCAGCCTCAGAAGCATATATCTTAGAAATGGCAGCTTCCAGCTGAAAGTCCACAAACCCACGATCCATGTTTCCAGATACCATGTATGCCATGGACTACAATAATTGCATTTGTTAATAGCTAGTTACAAAATCAGTTAAAATATAAAAAAAAACAATGTGAGAAATACATCCACATTTAAAATCACTGCATTTACCTTTAGAATAATAAACAGGAACACTGTTTCATTATTATGAAAACAGAAGCAATAGTTTAATGCATTACAATATTTCAAACATTTAGTAGTAGCATGAAAAGTAATCAAAATAGCACTGTCTATTATAAAATGTCCTTTGTACAAAATTTAAATAGAGAGTAATTATCTAAATAGAACACAATGATATATATTTTGCAAGATTACTAGTTTTCTAATCTGGAAATGTAATATAACATTAAAACCTCATATACATAAGTAAATAAGACTGCAATGTTAATTATAAACTGCTACATAATGAATGAGTCATGAATTGAAACAATGACAAATTATGGGCAGAGGAAACAAGAAAGAAGAGCCTGGCTACTTTTACTGAGATTAGGATTTTTTTGGGGGGGAGAGGAGGGGATTTTACCACTTATCTTTATGCACTTTTGGAATCCCAGTCTCTGGTAGGCCCACCATCATGTAAAGTATCTTGCTTCAACTTCTCTTGTTTACATCTGTGCACAAAATTTCTCCCTTATTTTTCAAAAACCTTAAACATTTCTTTTGTTAGCCCATAATATTTAGTAGGCTCGATCCGAGACTATTTTCTGCATGGATTATAAATAACCTAACTGAAAGTAAGGAAGAACGTCTATTAATATGCCCAGAACCACATCATTCTATACCCAATACAAAAGCTCTTCAGGAAGGATGAGATATGATAGATATATTAGTGGTCAAGATGCTATTTATATTAGAATATTGCTTCAATACAAATTTTTGGTGTGAAATGGATTTTGTAATTTGGTGAAGTGATATTTACTCAAAATCAATAATGTGAGGCTTCTGTTTGAGTGATATACAGTCTACCAATCATGAAATTCTTTCAAAGCCGAAGGTAACTGAACACTTTGTAAAAGCACAAACTCCTTAAAGTGCAAAGGATCAGCATAAAGGTACGTTTTGTATCTTTTGCTAGCCGCCTTAATAGTTTATTTTGTTTTTGCCCCGTAAATTTAGACATTATATTATATGAAATAATTTAGATGGAGCACCAATTGGGAAGAAATAGATGCGATTCAATGAAAGTTGGGGAAGAAGGTATACAACAAAATCCTCAAAATTGTTTTCAGTATCTAAGGGCAAATGAAAACATTACACATGTACTAAATGTAAATATCACATATTCCAAAACTATTTTCAGTTTCACAAGTTATGTTATAAGTTTTTGCATTGAACCAAAGAATATAGTTATGTATCAAATTACAGAATTTATAAATTTTCCATAAGGTATTACATTCGTTTTATAACATTCATGCTTAGCATATGTTGTAAAGTCAAATAGGTTACTATTAAAAAAATCCAAAAAGCATTTCGTTTGAGTTACAGTTTATAACATAGTCATCTTTGAATTCAAATAGAAGTCAGAGGTTCTGTTAAGAAAATTTCATAAAATAAAAAGGAAAAAAAATATTACCAACTTTTCTATTTTAATTATCTAATGCATTATCTGCCATTACACTATCATGTACTTTTATCAGTCAAAACTTACTGAAAAAATCGTTGTCACAATGCATAGAAATTCCAGCAAACTGTATTAGCTTAGAATTGAAAAATAAATAGTAACAGGATAGACATAGATAGATTAGTGCAAATTCACTGCAATTAGTCCAACTGAAACAAATAGTGTATGGGAATTTAAAACTATCAAAAGAATGAGTCTTAACATTTTTTATAGTAAAACTAGCATTTTCACTTGTTGGACTCAGATTTATGAGCAGTATTCTACGAACTAACATATAATATCCATAACAGATGATACGGAACGCATGCAACTCTTCACTGAACCTCAAGACCATGCACAAACTAACTTTTGTTCCTCAGCATTGCTACATTCTTCTAAGCATACTGTTTTAATCAAAGTTTCTGTTGACAGCACTATGAAGAGAAACAATGTAAATTAGTATAAAAAATGAGCACCTAATGAACCAGTTCCAAAATAACATTATTTGTTATTGAATTGGATATTCAAATAAGTTCTTTATTTTTCAGCAATTCAAGTTTACCATAGCTTATTAGGATATGTTTACACTGATAACACAATATAATGTACACATCTGCCCTCATTGCCACAATTTACCATTTAAACTGTTTTTCCACTTTCACCTGATTTCTGTACAGTAACATCCTATAATTACTCTTATAGCAAAGAGACAGTTGTATTAAAACCCAACTATCCTTGTTGTAGTTTTTATTTCATAACATTTAATACACCCATGGCAATGTGTCTTGCATTTGTGATTCTTCAACTATGTTAGTCAAAACAGTATTTTACTTGTAGAATTTTTGAAAATTCTCTAGTCTGAGTACCCTTTTATCCAGGACCATACCAAAGGGTTTGTGCTTCACTCTGATAGAATAATTGAAGATACAATTAAACACCAGGAGACACATCCTGATTTTGTGAACAATAGAAAAATAATCACAGACTGGCTTATTTTACTTGTAATGGACCCATGAATGATTTTTTTTTTTTTTTCATTGTGGAAACATTCTTTATATGGAAATACTATATGAACATACAAGCAAATTACAGTGTTTTGAAACAGCAAAATGTGATTACAGATTACTTACATTTTAATAATACTTTAAAGGCAATGATTGATAGATATCAAAGTGTCACACACAACTGCACAAATATTAAATGGCTAACGTAAGCATAAAAGCCCAGTATTGTACATCTTATATACATATATTAACCTGCAAGTTAGAAGCACATGACATTGCACAACCCAACTAGCTTTTAATACTAGTAACAGGCAGTGAAACTATGACGATCAGTTTTACTTATGGAATTCTTATACTAAATATAGAATCATTACAGTTTCATTTACAGAATTTTAACTTCTTAGATTTGTATGTGGTTTTTATATGGTATATAAAATTGCTATGATCCATATAATTTGTGTGAAACAAAAAATTCCATTTTCATCAAACAAAACTGAGGAGTGTTTAAAACTTCTACTGATCAATAACTAAAATATGTGCACCATCAACAGCAGAGAAAAACTGTTTTTCTTGCAACTTAAAAGTGAGGCATTGATGCCAAGTCAAACTGACTAAAATAATAGTAGGGGGAAAAAGCCTTCAATACATGCATTTTTTTTTAAATGAGAGAATACACAGTTTACATACCTCTGTAATATAGTGAGCCATAGCCATACGAGCTAATTTCTCCTGAATAGATCCATAAGTAGAAATTTTGTTACCAAACTGGGTCCGGTTAACAGCATGTTCTGTGGCTTTTTCGATGGCAAATCTCATAGTACCTGACAAGGCAGCTGCCATCCCAAATCTTCCATTGTTGAGAATATTCATAGCAACCTGGAAAATGAAAAATATATATAGATAGATAAAAACAATTACATTTTTCACAACAAGAATAGTAATTTTAAAAGTGATGTAACTTTATAACAAGAAAAATTTGTAGGTAAGAGATTTAATCTGCAATAAAATTTAATTCAAAAATATCCAAGAAAATTATAAAAATTAGTAATGCTGTTTAGTCAGTAGCAAAACAATATATTAATTATGAGCATACACCTAAAAACATTATTTTTAGCAGAAATCTAACATCAGGATTACAACTTGTACTGATTCTGATTGAACAGCCATGACTTATTAAAATATTCAAATGTTATTCAATGATCTGTATTTGAAATGCAAGACTTTTTTTTTGTCTTGCAAATCTTTGTAAGTACTAGTTTTACTCTGAATTTTTTAAGTCATACATGTTCATATCATTGTGTACTGTAGTTTGCTTTCACAATTAAAAATAACTTCTGCTCAGAAAAAACTATGTACTTGGAGCAAAACTAAAATTGAGCCTGATTAAAAATATTTTTAGACATAACCCAAAATATTACATGTATATATTAAGCATTATGCATCTTCAACATGTAATGTTACAGATTACCAGTTACTGAATCTATAGACATTAGAGATTAAATATGTTTGTGATTATAGCCACAATATTTCAGTTTTTTACTGTAAATGCATTTACTTATCACTGTGTTTTACCAATATATTCAATCAGATTGGTCAGAATATGTGATCACAGGTATTCTGTGCAACTTGTTATGAGCTACAGGAATAACTGTATTTTAAACTGGTTTATGATTTTATCCAATAGACATGATTAATCATATAGAAAACCATTCAGTCAATATTCATCCAGTTGCAATAAGCATTGTATGTCACATAAATTGGCTTAATAATTAATTCCATGTTCATGAAGTGTATTGATTATGTTATTGCTAAGTAATTGTGTTGTATAGTGTGATGTATGAGTTGCTATACCTTGCAAGTGTTATAAGTTAATTCATGTATATTCACAGAGTTGGTACAAGTCAGAAGTGTCAGCTCTGTTGTATAATTAAATTTATATAGAAACAAAAATGGCTACACTAGAAAAATGACTTATTAAAGATAAATGTTAATAACCATTTCAATATTTTTCATAAATGTATAAACAAAGTGACAAGTCGGGTTATTTATTAAGTAATTTCATTATGACTCTCATTGTATCACAGAAATGTTTATGAAAGCTCTCAAAGAACTCAAGTTTAATATCAAATGAAAAACATTAACAATGTTCAACTGAAAAAATAGCCTGACAGATGCTTTAATACAACAATATACTTTTATTTGGTTGTTTCTGTTTTTCACAAATACTGTTTTTTACATACAGACTTCTTGTGATTACAGATACAGAAGAACACACAGTAACTGGGTGGTTATATATATATATTATGAATCGTCACATAAAATTGGTTAATCTTGTGCATTTTTAATTGCTAGGTCTCAGAGCATGTTACATTATTTTATTTGTTGGGTATTGATGCTTAGAAAGTCAACAACTGTTAGATGTGTATTGGTTCCCCATATAATTGTTTTTTGTCTTGTGCTATTTAAAGTGAACTAAATGGTTTTTACTCTAAAATTTTAAAAGTATGAAAAGATTAGTTCACTGTAAGTAAAAAATATATATTTTTTTCACTGTTATCATTTTTGTGGTGGTTCCTTAATTAGTATTTTAAATAAAATGTTTTGTGTAATCTACTTGCAGCTGAATATAGGCATTTATAAATTAATAAACTACTATCAAAGTGAATGGAATACAAAATGGTAAAAAACTTGCATTCTGTATATTTGTTTAAGTTTAGTACATTTGATGCAACAATGATTATCTTAAAAACATGTAAATGAGGGGTTTCCATAGAACTTATTAAACACTAATTAATGAAGAAAGGAAAAATACCAGAAGAGAGTATAAACTATTGCAATACTCAACATTTTCGAGGAGCTCAGAACATAAAATATTTTGCTCACAACTAACATGAATTTAAATAAATGGTAAAAAGAGAAAAATTTTCAAATGAAAACAAACTGTATATGACTGATATATGCCACTTTCTTAGCTGTCAAGTCCAACAAGTACAGGATGGGACTAAAGTTATTATACAGTAGATAATGTCTCGTTGGTGCTAAAGAAATTATTTAAAAAGATGACTAAAACTGATTTAACTATTGTTTTTTTTTTCAGAGTAATAGTTAGAAATTAAACTATGTACAGTCTGTTTCCTTCACCCTGTATCATAAACCAGAAACTTCATTTGTTAATCAAAAAAAGTATATCACTAGAAATCTCTTAATTCTCTAATTTTTTGGTTTTGTTATTGTTAACAACTAAAACATTATTGTACAACGTCATATCCAGATTCATTATAATAAACCTGTTATAATACAGTAGTAATAAAGGGGTTAAGAAAGGTGTATTATTATAGTAAAAGTACATTACATTGCATTTGTTAAGATTCATAATTCTCTTGGTCTACTCTGTACATTGTCTATGAATTTGCTAGGAACCAAAAGGGTGATGACTATAAAATAAGGAGAAAAAAGTACCACATGTCACACACCTTGCCAAACTGTGTAGAACAACCTAATTTCATAACCCTGTAGAATTTACAATTTGGCTATAACTACAAGTTATTTTTTTTATAAAATATAAAGAATGTTTTTTTGGTTATTTAGTGAAATAATTTTTCCAAATTTGTTAATTATTCTTGTACAAAAACTTAATGCTGGTTAAAAATTGTGTTTGAAAGGAAGCTGGACTGGTAGGCCTACCTACATAATTCTGTTCATTTATTAATTGTAATTGTATCATTTCATTAGAACCCAAACACAGGCAAATCTCATTGACAAGTAAAAAACAAAAGTTGACACAGATTTTGTTAATAACTTATGAAAAAAGTATCAAAAACTAGGATGTATGGTGGCACTATCATATATATAATCTTATATGTCTGGTCATTATATGAAATATTCTGTCCATTGAACTGTAATTATAGACTGGTTGCACGGGTAATAACTACTCAAATGATTACCATAGGGAGTTGGTAGTCTGGGCAGGCTTATTTACTCCCAATTGTGTTTTCAGTAGAGGAAAACTTCAAATCTAGCTGATAAGAAATATGTGATTAAATATAAAACATTACAAATATATTGAAATTCTAACCTTGAAACCTTCCCCAACTTCCCCTAGCACATTTTCAACAGGGACTTTTACATCTTCAAAGTGAACTTCTGCAGTATTTGAGGCTTTAATCCCCATCTTTTTCTCTGGAGGACCATTGGTTACTCCTCCAAACCCTCTTTCCACAATGAAAGCTGTGATTTTTTCTTTCACTTCTCCTGATGGGATTTTCACTGGAGTCTATAAAAAATATATATATTAGAACATTACAAAAACAACTTGAATATACATTTAAAAAAAATCATGTTTTTTCACACTAACCTAATAATTTTAGATCATCAATTTATGAATAAATAAAAAACTAGTAATCCACAATAATTTAATATTTCAAAAATCCAATATGTGATTAATCAAAAAAGCAGTCTTCTTCATTCCAATATAACCTTCATAAAACCAACAGGGCCAGCAAGTAATTAATAACCTAGAAGCTTATAAAACCACCAAGTTATTACTTTATAAAAAACAAATTTGTCTAAACTGACCCAAAGCTTTACAAAAATCAACATATGGATACATAAAAAATTAGGTTTTGTAAACTAAAGCTGTGTATGAACAAATGTTTCAAGAATATTTACTGAATCAAAACAAATGCACATTATGGCAGTAACATAAAAACATTTCAGATGTTACAAGATTACATTTACTGCTAATTATTAGCATTATATATATAAAATGTCTTATGCTCATGCAGTGTGATCTATTCATTATCAGATTATGTGACATTACATCACAATAAATAAATAACATTTTGACTGAGGATTTGTGTATTGTTGCATTCCTAATGAGCTGATAATACTATCTGAAAAAAATTCTCATTTTCGGGTCAGCTCTGGAAGATGATACTGGAGACATAATTTGGTATTACCAGCACATGTCTCGGGAATTTTTGTTTCTAAGTTAGCTGTAAAATTACTTTGTCAACTTTGCTGGACTATACATTTTTCTTACACCAAAATATGTAACCTATTTCCTGATTAAACAACAGTTAAACATACCTCAAATAACTTAAAATCTTAGAACTTGAAACAAACCTGATAAAACTGCTTCCACAGTGCAAGTATATAGTAAACATTCTCAAATACTACTGCTTTTAACTGATGCAATGTGTCACCATACCAACTGCCTCATAATTTCTCACATGCTTTACAGTATGTTTGGGTACATAATTGTATAAAAACATCCTAAAGCAAATACTGATGTAGAAATTACAAGTGACTGAAAATAAACTCAATTTTTTTATTTTCTAAAAGAATATGATAGATAGCATTACCTTAGCAAATACAGTAAAGATTTCTGCTAGACCTCCATTACTGATCCAGATTTTCCCACCATTTAGAATATAGTGCGTTTCATCTTCAGAAAGCACAGCTCGAGTTTTGATGGACTGAGAGTAAAGATAATGAAAAAGTTCAAGAATTATATCTTAATGATCTGGTAATCATGACAGCAAACTAGCAAACAAACTGCTGCTATCAAGAAAAATTGACAAGTTACAAATAGTTCATAACAATTAACTTCCTAGACAAGTTGAATAAATAATCTATGCTAGTATTCTCAGATGTCAATTAAGTTAAACAATACAATTAGACTGTAGTAATATTTTCAGCTTCAACACATGCTATTGAATTTGAAATGTAATCAAGTATACAAAACTATACATGTAATATGTAAAACTACACAAAATAGTTCGAGTACTCTGGGATCAAATTTGCACTACTAAACAATAGAAACAATGGTGTTATGTGAGAATGTATTAAAAGTTTAAGATGGTTGAAATATAGTTTATCATTATTTTAAGTTTTAAAACATTGTACAAACTTAATCGTTGTTGTTGAAATTTGCAGATAGTTTTTTATACATCTAGTTTTTACTACTTTATAAATTTTATTAATATGCAAAGTGCCTTATTCTCAGGAACATAAAATATTTCATTGAATCGAGAATACCTCAGTGAGCTTATATTTAAATTATCAAGTACTGCAATTATGAATTTGTAAAACATCTTTAAAAAAATTAATAATGATCATAACTAAAATTATGATATGGTGTTTGGAAATGTAACACAAATCAGTTCATTAGGCTTGTTGGTTTGACGTTAAGCACAAAGCTACACAATGGACTATCTGTGCTGTGCCCATCACAAGTATCAAAACGTGATTTTTAACATTTATAAGTTTCATACTTACTGCTGTGCCACTAGGGGACAGTTCATTAGATATAAAATACCTTTCAAAATAAATGTTGATGAAAAACTAAAATAAATACATAAATTATGCTGACACAAGTGTCTTCATACTTAATACTAGAAATTCTTTAATTGAGTAAAGCTATTATTAATGTGTACTGCTTATTATTATTCAATACTAATTTTCTCAGAGTATGGTATAAAAAGTTTTCTTTACCATCAAACTGTTAAGGAGATTAAGTTCTTTTATTTATGGGTTTCATTAATAAATAAAAAATCCCAATGAAATGTGGTAAAAGGAATGTAAAATACTTCTACATTAAATAAAATTTATATATAAAACAGCTAGGTCTAACAAAGGGTGTTCATCTGAAATGTAGGAAAAAAAAACAATAAATAAATAAAATATTCTTTCTTTTTCTTTACCCTAGATGCTTTTTACATAGTTTTCTGTTCTAATGCAGAATCTACACATCAACACCTTTTGATTATTCCAACTCACTTTTTTCTTTTATTTTCTGTTTTCTATAGCTTGTATAATTTCTGTTGAATTGTTAGTTATCATCACTGATATTCTAACCATGGACATTTAATGAGTGTTATGAAACAGAAAATCTCATTTAGAAAAAACATTTTTTGTTAACAAACACTTTGAGCCTAGAATAATTAAAACAGACTTACAGCAGCATCAGAACCACTTTCAGGCTCAGTGAGACAGTAGGCTGCTATTAGTTCTCCAGAAGCTAAAGGTGGTAAGTACTTTTTCTTCTGGGCTTCGTTTCCATACAGCAAAATACCTTTGAAACCTATTGACTGATAAAAAAAAAATACCTTATAGCTTTCTTCAACAAACACTTGTACGTATGTTATGTAAAAATCTGTACATTAGTATTTGAAATGGTGATCAGAATTAAAATTAAAAGTAGAAATGTGGAAAATAAATGTTTGAATAAAATAATTATTTACAGCATTAAATACATAAGACTAAATAAAAATGTCTTTATAATAAGG